TCTACAAGCGTTTATTGTACGTTTATACACTATTTGTTTACGTCACACACACAAAGAATGCGGAGAAAGCTTAAGTTTGAAAATAGGGACGAGTTGTATACAAATTTGTTAGAGCTAAAAGCGTGTAAAATCTTTATAAACACTCATTATGCTTGAGACGTGATGGGTGACCCACTTCTATTTTTTCCCTTCTGCCATTAAAATTAAATGTCTACGATGCCCCTTATTAAACGATTTACCGTGCAAATTTCAGTTTGTAATATTTATCTATTCAGTGATATTAAACGAAATAGACGTAAATACACGCACATCCTTATTTCATTTCTTTACTTTTTCTGTTCGGACGTGTCACAACCATTCCAAAAACTTCCAAGTCAAATATTATAACAGCCAGAAAAATAAAATTCATTCAATTATATTAAAATCATTGGAAATTTCTCGACATATACTTTGAAGGATAATAAATTAATTTTCAATTAAATTTCATACGAGAAGTGGCCAAGTCAATGAATCATTTCGTCAATGTTAAGATCGAGTTTGTTGCAATTATTTTGTTTGTTGGTTTACTCCTAATTAATGATGTTTACCGCTGAGTATTTTTATAATGTGGTTGAAATTGTTAGTTGAATAAAAACCGAATTCAAAAGTGTTTTTGACGAAATAAATGTAATCTTTGTAGAAATGAATGATCTATTTTTGAATTGTTTCGAATATAATAAACTACGACATACAACACACGTGAAAGAGTGCAAATGGATAACTAATATTAAGTTTTATAAATTAAATAGATTCAAACAGAATGAGTTTATCATTAAAAGATTTTAAAATAATTTTTAACAAATGATTTTATAATTCTTTATAATTTTTTTGTAACCTCACCTTCAACCAACTCCTCCACTTCATCGTTTTCTTCATATGTTATTTTTTTGACCAATGAATGCTTCTCTAAAAATAAAAGTTCTGTTTTCAATGGTCTTATTTCACATCGAGTACTTTCCAAAACCCAAAAAGGACCCTCCTCTTCATCATCGAAATTTTTTAAAAAGTGAAAAGTTTCCATTCCTGATAGAATAATCTTACAGTAGTCGAAATATTCTTTTATTAGTCGGAAAAATCATTTATTAATTAATAAAGAATTTGCAGCTATTACAATCAACACTTTCCACAAATTGTGCATTTCTCGTGTTGTGTTTTTCAGTTTTAAACCTTTAGATGATGAGAATTATTAAATTATTTTGAATTGAACTTACAGAAGATAATTCTGTTTCTTCTGGAAAATCAGCATTGATATCACGTGTCAGTTGCAGGACTGCTTTCACTGTATTTGTGAACGCATTTTCTGCACTAACATTATTGTCACAATCGGAATATTCACGTATTTCCATTTGATTATTAAAAACTAAAGAATAAAACTAAACGCATCAAACACAGCAATTCGTAAGAGATTTTTCGCGTGAATTTAATAATTATGTAAGAATTTGAAAGAGATATAGGAAATGACGAACGGTTTACACCAAATAAACAGATGAAATTCTCATTGTAGGAATATATTTTGTAAATTTTATCCATTGAAAATCCACAGCAATAATACTAAGAATTTAGCAAAAGTCAATTTATTTCAGTCATAAATATTACATTGTGATTTGACATTATTAATTGTCTGGAAAGTGTAAATTGTTACAATCGTAAATTGAAGAATTGATATGCAGTTTTACTAAAGAGTTATTCCCGGTGAAATAAATGACTAAATGTTTATTAATAGAATTCAATATTAAGATATTGGATATAAATAATAAATTGTTATTTATTTGAAGAAAATACGTTTAATGATGTAATTGTCTCAAGCAGAAAATGAATGCAAAGTTAAATATCGTTAATGGCACTAAGAATATTCGCCGTTCTTAAAATTCTATATCATTCTATTGGGATTTTTAAACATCTGGTCGAAAATTACTTTTAATTTTATGTTTCTGTATTTATTTTCGACACGTTAGTAAACAGTTAATATAATTATAGAATAAAAATGTACTGTACTTACTCATTAATCTTATTTAATAGCACCGAACAAACGCTTCGACAATGGCCGAAAATGTATTATTGCTATCTATTGTTTAAGCAACAATTAGAAACGTGCTTACGTCACGCTAATCACAGAACTTGCTTAGAATTACGCATGAGAATAATTTTATTTTTGAATTTTTTTTTTGTTTATTTTTTGATCACAAAAAAGACCTGAGCGATTAATTAATGCAATAACATAACTAATTAATATTTAAGATTGACAATTGTCCCATAGTGTTGGAATTATTACAAGGTGATACAAGGTGTAATTAATAATAATTATTACAATTATTATTAATTACAACACTATGTTATAACACTCAAGTATTTTTTACAGCTTATCCCCATGTTTTTAGATATCGTTTTATGTCTCTGGCATTAACGCATTTATTTCTATGTTAAAAAATCTGAATTTAGTCTCTATTCGTGGCTGTAGAGAGTTAGTGTATTTCATTAACGATTTTAGATTTCTTTCAAAGTCCTGAAGTTTCTTGTACGTATAATTCCGGATTGCTTCCAAGACCGTGTTTTCTTTCCTCTTTTTTTACGTCTTATTGGTGTTTCTTCCGTCTTATTGGTGTTTTCTTACGTCTTATTGGAGTTGTCTTTCCCTTTCTTTACGTCTTATTGGGGTTGCTCGAATCTAGTTTTTGAATGGGACTCATTTTCTCAGTAAAACATAGGCCGTTTTTAAACTCTTCATTAACTATTGAAATCTTCTATACTCATGCTTGAGTTTCTTCCGTGTACGAGTTGTTTTGTTTGGAAAGCTTCGCCGTTATACGTGTATTCATTTTTTAAATCTATTCGGTTAAAACCTATAATAATATGTCAGAGTAACTGTGAATAAAAAGATACCCTATTTTAAATTATAAATGAAAATCCGTGGCTCCGACTCGAAGGAACGTGCAGCTTCCAGATCAAGTCACTGTTCTGAAACATGATTTATAATTTCCATTAATAAATTCGCCACAATTTATTTTTAATTTTTCTGTTATTTTAAAGACGGATTATGCTACAACGTGTTTCTATAGACAGAATAATGTCGATCATTCAGAATAAACAATATTTGTATCAATTCTTACAAGTGTTTGTTCTACCCTGGCACCTAGACGACTAACAAATCTTGGTGTCGTGAACCTCTGCTCGGATGATCTGCCGAAAATCCATATTATATTAGACGCAAGGGGGCTACACTGGAGTCGACTGTTTATTTCCCCAGAACATCAACAACCATAGATGCTAATATAAAACTAAAACTAAAGGTGAGGAAATGCGAGGTGTAGAAGAGGTATGAGTGTTGGCTGACGTTTTGCGTAATCGGTAATAGAGAACTTAGAATTATTGAGGAGTCCAAGTGTATCCGGTAAAGTGTCTGAAATTGATCGAATGCATCAAATGATGCACAAGCGAAGTAAATTATGTTATGAACAGAGTAGTAGAATTAGAAAAGTGATGGCAAATTATATGTTTCTAGCCCGAAAAGCCATTCAGGGTCTGGTAATAAAAAATGAATTGTGCTTTATACAGACATAACAAAGTGACTTCTTTCAAACACTTAGCAGACTTTCAAATACTCTGCCAAGTGTTTGAAAGGAGTCACTTTATTGTGTCTGTATAAAGCAAAGGAAATTAACAATACTGTTTTATCAGAATCAAAAGAAAATGAATTGCTTAAAGCACGAGTTAGAACAATTAATGAGGTTAAACAAGAGCTGGAAAAAGAGTACAAGAAAAGGCCTAGTTTCTCTGAAGCGGCTAGAGCCAAAATATCAATTACAAGTAAAGGTCGAGGTATAACAATTGGTTTAAATGTAGGTAAGAAAGATGAAGCAGTTCTGTTCGTTAAAGGTTAGACGGATATAAGAAGTGACTCTATTAACTTTTTCGGCAGCATTTATAACTGCGTATGTCGCATCTGTTACGATGTATTTAAAAGAACGTTTATATTTTTATTTATTAAAAAATGGCTAAACAGTTCATTTTGAAGGTAGAGACGGATTTTATAAAAAAATTCTAAATGTAATAAAAAGTAAAGTCGCCATTAAGCTCGACCCTACTCAAGATATGACAAACGACTCACTCTATTTCCCCAATCCCTTGATCTTTAAAGACTAAAATTTACCAAACTCGATTCCTCTAATAAACAAACCACTCTGCAAAATTTCTGGAATTTTCGACAAAATGAACAGGAGTTATTACGCTCTAAATTTATTTCTAGCTCTATTAGGTTGTTGAGATGTATATTTTATCGTAGAAATTAAGCAGAATACCTTCACAACTTTGTTTCGGTCTGGTCGGCTCAGGTATCTTTTATCACATTAACAATTCCAAATGTAAGGGCACTGTGGCGACAGCTTTGGCGATAAATCCCAAAGTCGCCACAAGGGGGAACCCCTGACCTGACCTATGACATCACACACATTCTTGTTGGATTTGGACGTCGCCAGACGTGTGTAGTAACACCTCGTGTTTTAACCTGTACAGTCGCGCCATAATTCATATATAGAATAAATGTTAATATTTTATTGTGTGGCCTGGTTTGCAATGATTAATTTCACACAAACTGGTGACCACAAACTGGTGAGCCGAACGTGATATATGTTTTATGGTGCCTCTACCAGACGAAGGACTCTTATCGTGCGACATGAAAATTCCATCCATTCGCATCGGATACAACGTTGGACTTTCATCCTTTTTCGGAACTTCCAACTCATACAACTAGACCTTCGAAACGTGTAACCACGGATAATTTTTCGTCGACGGTCGACTTTTCTCAACAAAAAGGTATAGTACACCACGTGCTATCCTTCTTTGTCCTCGCGCCACGTGCCATTTTTTTTTCCTCGCCACGTGCCTTTACGTGCCATCGTTCTTCGTCCTTTCCCCACGTGCTGAACTGCGCGCACAACGTATCATTTAAGGATAACTACCTCCGCACTGCCACAACTACGTAAAAAAATCATCATGTCTGAGGCAGAAATTAATGACGATCACCGTCATATTTCACGCATTGCGATCAGACCCCCACCCTTCTGGAAGGGCAACCCTAACTTATGGTTTGCTCAGTTGGAAGCACAATTTTCGATAAATAACATAACCGTCGACGACACCAAATTTAAACACGTCGTTGCTGCAATAGAGCCGGAAATTTTAAATTCGGTGCAGGACCTAATCCTCAACCCGCCCGACCAGAATAAATTTTCCACGCTAAAGGCTCGTCTCATTGACGTCTATTCGGAGAGCGAGACCTCCAAAATCAGAACGCTTCTTCAAGGGTTGGAACTGGGAGACCAACGTCCATCCTTCCTATTATCACGGATGCGCGACTTGGCCGGAAACCATTTTAGCGAAGACCTGCTACAATCTCTCTGGCTGTCGAGACTTCCTCATAACGTACAGGCCATTTTAGCCGCATCTAAGGAAAAACTCCAACAACAGGCCGCCATGGCCGACAAGATAATGGAATTAGTCTCCCCCGCTCACATTCAAACGGTCGAACATGACCTTGCCACTATCTCCACCTTGAAGAACCAGGTTGCGGAATTAGCCCAGCAGGTCAAGAACCTCACATTATCCATCAACAACCAACGCCGCTCCTTCACACGTTCTGATTACCCTCCCAACAACAGGAGGCGCCGCAGCAAATCGCGGCAGAATCAACAGCACAGCACCCCACACAACGGCATGTGTTACTACCACGCTACCTTTGGGGAGCAGGCGAGGAAATGCAAAGCCCCTTGCTCCTTCCGACCGTCGGAAAACTGACTAGGCGGGCGCTTACGGCCAGAAGCCTCACCCGCCACATCGATCGAATCACCATGGCCGACCCTACTACGAAATACAATTCCTAATTGACACAGGCGCCGACATCTCCGTTATCTCAAAAAGTTCTAACATGTATTTATGCAAACCCGACAAGCTAGTCCTCTTTGCTGCAAACGGAACGCCTATTTCAACTTACGGAACAAAACTATTAACACACAACTTTAACTTAAAGCGGAATTTTTCGTGGCCATTTGTAATCGCCGACGTAACCCAACCCATCATAGGAATCGACTTCTTAACTAAATTGAACCTACTGGTGGACATTAAAAACAATCGACTAATCGATGGAGTCACGCAACTAAAGTCTCCTGGTTGCTGGCAGAACCGACCTACAACTGTCACTAACATCACCGCTGTGACTAATGATTGTCCCTACCACCGTATCATGGCCGAGTTCACTACCATCACAAATCCGTCGATAATCCCCGAAACCAAGAAAACGCCAACCACCTTTCATCACATCGAGACTAAACGACCACCTGTCTTCTCAAAACCCAGACGGTTACCACCAAATACGCTCCGAGCAGCACAGGAAGAATTTTGGTTCTTAATGTCCCAAGGCATCATCAGACCATCCAAAAGCCCCTGGGCCAGCCCGCTACACATTGTCAAGAAGGCAAATGGCCAGTGGCGACCATGCGGCGACTACCGTCGTCTCAACGCTGTAACCGTCCCTGATCGCTGCCCTGTTCCTCATATACAGGACTGTACTCAACTCCTAGAAGGCAAAACCATTTTTTCCACCCTGGATCTAACCCTCGCCTATCACCAAATACCGGTCTTCCCTGAGGACATTCCGAAAACAGCCATAATAACCCCGTTTGGCTTGTTTGAATACATCTATATGCCTTTCGGTCTACGAAACGCTGGTCAAACCTTCCAGCGATACATCCACCAAGTCCTACTTGGCCTCGACTTCTGCATCCCGTATTTCGACGATATATTGGTCGCGTCCAAAGATGCGGACGAACACACGGACCATCTCCGCCAAACGTTCCTCCGCTTGAAAGAGCACGGCCTAAAACTAAATCCATCCAAATGCATCCTTGGAAAATCTGCAGTTCCATTCCTCGGCTGCATGATTACATCATCCGGAGTTAAACCTTTGCCATCAAAAACCAAAGCCATCAACGATTTTCCTCAACCAAAAACTGTAGCTGAGCTTCGTCGCTTCTTAGCCATGCTCAATTTTTATAGACGTTTTTTGCCAAATGCAGCCCAAACTCAGGCCCCACTACTCGAATTTCTCAAGGACTCCAAAAAAAAAAAATGATAAACGCATCATCTCCTGGAACGAATCTGCTCTAAAGTCCTTTAACCAATGTAAAGCAGATCTCTCAAATGCAACGACTCTGGCATACTATTCGTCACATGACAATCTCTCCCTAATGGTAGACGCATCTAATGTCGCCATCGGCGCCGTACTCCAAACCCATACCGCCGAAGGAACTCGTCCACTAGCCTTCTTTTCACGGAAACTAACGCCTACCGAAATAAAGTACAGCACCTACGACAGGGAACTGCTGGCTATATACTCCGCGATCAAGCACTTCCGCCTTACGATCGAAGGTCGAGACTTTGTCATCTTTACGGACCATCGCCCCCTCACCTTCGCTTTTCGCCAAAAACCAGAATCTTGCTCCCCACGTCAGCTGCGACATCTCGATTACATTGCGCAGTTCAGCACCAACATCAGGCACGTCACTGGCTCGAACAACATCGTAGCAGACACTCTCTCTCGGATCAACGAGATTCGACTTCCCGTGACAGACTTTACCGCCATTGCGGAAGCTCAAGCAAACGACGACGAGCTAACCGCACTCCTCACGGACGATAAAACAGCACTCACGCTACAGCCACTCCGAATCAGCCCGTCACTACAACTATATTGTGACACCAAGGACAGCAAAGTTCGCCCATATATACCACTCCAATTTCGCCGTCGAATCTTCTCTTCCATGCACAATCTGGCCCATCCAGGAATTCGTGCAACGAGGCGTCTTGTCCAAGAACGTTTCGTGTGGCCTTCGATGCAGAAAGACATCGCCAATTGGACCCGTTCCTGCATTAACTGCCAACGGTCCAAAGTGAATCGGCACACCAACAGCCCTCTTCAGAGATTTGACCTCCCATCCAATCGGTTTTCACATGTGCATCTCGACCTCGTCGGACCACTCCCGCCTTCAAATGGATCTACCTATCTACTCACCTGCATAGATAGATTCACGAGGTGGCCGGAAGCTGTTCCCCTCCACGACATTTCTGCTGAAACAGTCGCTCGCACTTTTGTCTCACATTGGATCTCCAGATTCGGTGTTCCCTCCATCATCACAACCGATCAAGGCCGACAATTCCAGTCTCATCTGTTCGCCTCACTGACAGCTATGTTGGGCATCCAACACATACGTACAACACCATACCATCCATCAGCCAATGGTTTAGTTGAACGATTCCATCGTTCGCTAAAACAGGCTCTCAGATGCCACGAACAACACTGGACGGAATCTCTCCCAATCGTCCTACTCGGCCTTCGATCAGCGTTAAAAGAAGACATCAATGGCACTTGTGCCGAGATGGTGTACGGCACAACCCTTCGTCTCCCGGCAGAGTTCTTCCATCCTTCGCAGGAACCGCCAGCAGACCCATCATCCTTCCTCCATCACCTACGGTCCACGATGCAGTCGCTTACGCCGACTCCAACATCTGCACATGTCAAACCTTCACACTTCGTCCATCCAGCACTCGACACCTGCTCCCACGTGTTTGTGCGAAAAGAAGGTCATAGAACTTCTCTGACCTCCCCTTACGATGGACCCTTCCCAGTTACCGTGCGGACACCCAAGCACTTCACAATCCTAGTCAACGGAAAAACAACAAAGGTCAACATCGATCGATTAAAACCAGCATTTCTGGACAGCGAGAACGCCAGCACATTGTCAAACTTGTCCAGGACAACACGTCCAGACTCCCCGGAGCGACCAAGGATAAACACTCCTAATAACTCCGTGCCTACCAACACGACGACGACAACACGTTCTGGAAGAAGAATCAGGTTCAACCCCGGTACCTTTAACTTCATACCTACGGCACTTGGGGGGAGTACTGTGGTGACAGCTTTTGCGATAAACCCCAAAGTCGCCACAAGGGTGAACCCCTGACCTGACCTATGACATCACACACATTCTTGTTGGATTTGGACCCTTCCAGACGTGTGTAGTAACACTTCGTGTTTTAACCTGTACAGTCGCGCCATAATTCATATATAGAATATATGTTAATATTTTATTGTGTGGCCTGGTTTGCAATGATTAATTTCACACAAACTGGTGACACAGGCACAAATAAATTTCATAAATGAGCCATATGTGTTGTTACAAACATACGAATACAAATTTGTCGATTTAATTATATTTTGCGATTCGTATGCCATTTCTTTCGAGACAACGGATAACTTAGAAACAATGGCATTATTTTCGTGCAAAAGTTTAATCTTTACATGCCAAATAATATATTATCTACCACAAAACATCTTACGGGTTGTCTAATTAAATAGTCACTCGATTTTAATTAAACGGTTTAGTAAATCCCCCTCGTTCAAAAATAAACTGAAACTAACTTCCCAATTTAATCATCTTGCACAGACATGCCCACTGCTACAAACATGCAAATTTATACCTCAAATTCTTAAAGTGACAAACGTAGATCGAGTGACCAGTGACAGGTAAAACGGGGTACATAAACACTCCTGTGATCGAGAAACAAGTTCCTCAAATTAATGTAAAAGGAATTGAGATACGTAACTTTGCATCATCGACAATGGGATGCTTTGTCTTTAAAAAGTTAAAAAATAAAAATTTATTTACACAATTTATTTGTTTTCATACTTTGCTCTTTTGGAAAATTTTCTGCGGAATGCCCATGATAGTCACATTACAGTAGACCTCCCCTATAAAACAGATTCATATAATGCGGGTTCGTATATAACAGCGAAAAAAATGCGTCCGTATTCGTATAAACACGCTAAAAGAGACTCGTATAAAACGGTAAAACCTCATCGCCTACTCGTGTTGCGACAGGATTGGTCAAATCTAGACCAATAGCGGATATTGCACAAACCGTTGAGTTTAAACGAGCAGCAGACCTACTAAATACCATTTCAACGGCCATAAAAATTATATTTATATTAATGATGTCTCCAAAGTTTAGCGAATTTTTCGCAAAAAAAAAAAAATTTAACAAGAAACAGGCGCCAGCCGTTCGATGCGCCGCTCCACGACAAAAACAAGCTTAATTAAGCAATGGCGTCGTCGAACGGTGCACACTCGGTAAGTAATCCCACAATTTTTGTATAGCCTAGTTTATATAAATTATTCCCAAAATATTATACGTGTTTTGGAAATGTTGAGTCAAATTAGTCTAGAATCGATTAATTTTATGGAAGACAACTTTTCAAACAGCCGTAGTTTCGAAACTACACACATTCCGGGCTGTGATTGGCTTATGTATTTGAGGACTTGTCTAACATCAATTTCATTAAAAACGATAAGTATCTACCGATTTATAGGGTCTACTGTACTTTACGGGTGATAGTCATCTATTTACTGGTAAATTTGTTTTTCTGTATTTCAGTTGGTGGCATTGTTGGTGCAGATTAGAACTAAAAAAAATAATTTTCTGATTAATAATTTTTAAAATCATTGATTTTTGTTACAAAAGTGGAATTAAATAATTGTTTAAAAATTTCATCTAAAATAAACTCTTAATACTTTTTCTCTAAATATAAAATGACTTATAAAAAAATATGCGTATTACGATTCCTTTAAGACTTGGAACGTTCTATGCTAATATTCGATTGATAACATTACAGGATAAAAAATTCAATACATTACAAACAGTTACAGTTTGAATGTGTACACTTTATACTTATCACAACCTGTACACTTCGTACAAAATTGCTAAATTTATAAACATCTGTTTTTAACTCGGCACATCATTAAATTTAAGTACAGAGATTGCAACAGGAATGTTTATCCTCGACTGTATTCTTCGGGAAAAAGTCTACAGTTTGTGTACACTGTACATTACATTGAAATAATTCGGGTCCTGTACCTACAGCATGGAAAATATCCATTTTCAGTACAGTAATGCCCCGAACTTACGCGATAAGTGGGACCGAGTGATAACCGCGTAAGTCGAATTCGCGTAAGTAAAGGTATAATTTCCCAATTTGTGTAAAATCCAAGTCGGATGTATGTAAGCTAATAAATGTTCTGGTTAATCTTATCTCGTCTTTTGATTCGGTTACAGTTACAAAAAATCACCACATAGAGTCTCTCAAGTTTCCGTAGATATAAATGACAAGCAGAAATAAATAACACAAAATAAATTGTAGCTATGTGTCGATTCCGCGCGACATTGTCGAACATGTAAGCCGAACAATAGTATAAGGGAATGAGTAATCAAACGTTGCGTGGCGCTCAAACAAAAGACGAATCGTCGAGATTTGAAAATCGCGTAACTCCGGGTTCGCGTAAGTCGCTGTAGTACGAATTTTCTAATAATTTTTGTTATTTGTCCCCAAGTGTCTAATTATCACAGTTCATAATATTAACTGAAGCTTGATTACTTTAACCGAATTTTATACAGTAGTGATTATGATATTCATTTTCCTCGATTATAATAAAATATTTTCTACTATTACTAATAATCCAAAAAACTGTTTATGCTTCTAACACAATAAAGTGGTATAAATTAAGACACTTGGCGGGTTTTCTCATCTTTATTTAGTTGATACGTGTAAAAATTTTTACACGTTTCGGGCTCTTAAGCCCCTCTTCAGCCAACTAAAACATTAAAAAAGAATATAACATACATATAAAAACACAAGTATTGTAGAAATNGATTTTTGTTACAAAAGTGGAATTAAATAATTGTTTAAAAATTTCATCTAAAATAAACTCTTAATACTTTTTCTCTAAATATAAAATGACTTATAAAAAAATATGCGTATTACGATTCCTTTAAGACTTGGAACGTTATATGCTAATATTGGATTGATAACATTACAGGATAAAAAATTCAATACATTACAAACAGTTACAGTTTGAATGTGTACACTTTATACTTGTCACAAGCTGTACACTTCGTACAAAATTGCTAAATTTATAAACATCTGTTTTTAACTCGGCACATCATTAAATTTAAGTACAGAGATTGCAACAGGAATGTTTATCCTCGACTGTATTCTTCGGGAAAAAGTCTACAGTTTGTGTACACTGTACATTACATTGAAATAATTCGGGTCCTGTACCTACAGCATGGAAAATATCCATTTTCAGTACAGTAATNGTTGACAAATCCTATCAAAGATATTATAGAAAATTATTTTGTATATAGGCCTACTATATTCAAAATTCAGTTTGATGGTTATTTTCCTGTAGATGGTGATCAATCATCATCTGCTCAAGGAGAAGGTAACCAAACAATTGGTAAGTTTATTTGTAGAACTCTTATAATTTTACGTGTAGTTAGTTACAACATACTAAACTAATTTTGATACTGAAATGGAAGAACAAGAAATCTCTGAGGGAGTAGAGAAGATGCAGGCCACTGCACAGGATACTCCAGTTGAAACTAGGATAATAAAAGTATCATTTCCTGTTTTTGAAGGCCCGAACAGAGGTAAATTATTATAATATCGATCATTCCTGAATTAAGGCAAGTAGACTATTGAAAATCTCAACTTTGTAATGGGCATATAAAATTTTTAATTGAAAGAAACGAAGTATGGCATATATACGAGACCTTATCTGAATGGAAACTCTCTTTAATCTTAATTTATTTGCATTTCAACAATGCAAAGACGAGTGATTTATTTAAATTTCTTCTGATTGTTAAATATGACATAGCGGAATGTGAAGATGCGATGATTCTTCCATTGGTAACATCGTACTATTTTGTCAGCCATGTTTAATTATAAATTGTTTTTGAGGTCGTCATTAAAGAAAATGTTGTAATTTTTTTGCCACTTACATTTATATTTAGGTAATTGAATCATCGTTTCTTCATACATACTCTGGGTGTTTAATGTAATTGTGCTGCTTCAACCCAAAATGAAACGAAGGATGAAATTTTAGGATTTACCCTCTAGAAAGGATTGGGATTCGTAAGCGAATACATTGATTGACGGGCATCTGGGCTAAAAACGAATGGGAAAAATAAAGGATTTTAAAAGTGTTACAGAACAAGTATTTTTCTAATATAGAAAATTGATTTTTACCAGATTATTTACTTACTTATTAGTAAATACACTGATATCACGAAAATGATATTAACTATTTAAAGAATAGACGTATGTAATTTTTTCATAATTAAAGCTAGTTGCGTGTGCTTGGCCTTTTGAGGAAGAGGAGATGGTGATAAAAAAACAACTGTCTTAATTACAAACTAAAATGTAGGATTTACAAGCAATTGGAAGTCTTTTAAACGCTTCACTCATTGCTTTTAGATAAAACTTTAGACATTTCAAAATAAACAATTCATTGTCAGTATTACATAAATCATTAATCAGTACTCTTGGGATTACCTCAACATTAATTTTTTCGATAACAATAGATTATGTGGATTATATACATTAAAAGTTTCACTATTATCATCATAAGCTGATAATACTTTTGTTTCGATAAAATTAAAGGCTAATAATTTAATAAACGCTTTCTATATAAAAAGGAGATATTAAAGACTTTTCAGATTGGAAGAAAACATTAAACTCATTGAATATAAGTAATATAAACTTAAAAATAATAAGTTTTAACACGTGGATTCTGCATTTGACTAAAAATAAACAGACATTGTTCGTTTTTTTCTTCCAAATTCTGAGACTCGAAAAACTTCAGCAACACATTTGTATGTAATGATGAACGATCTATCCTCTTTATCCTCTGGCGACAAATACATAGAATGAAGAAATAGTCATCGTTTGTTCTTGAACCCCTCCTCTAGTGTTGTGTCGTCTCGACATTATTTTTGTCCTTACTCAGTGAATTATTAGTATATAAGTCTTCTCTCTTTAGTTTCATGAAACAACTTAAAGAAACTTGAGTTCGACCACAATCAAATTTGATCAATTTCTAGCATCTGCACACTGTAGAAAATCTAGAAATACAGTTCTGTATATCATAATAATAATAGTCATTGCCAGAGAGTGCTATAAAGTAAAGAAAACTCTGTTAATTTAAATTTCTCAAAAAGTAAAAAAATATTTCTAAAGTCGTTTTTATATGCATGTTGTTTTTCCATTAAATTGAGGGTCAACAATTAACTGATATTGTTGTAATTGGGAAATTATTGAACTGGCGAATATGCCGCTCGTCTTCATTTTTATTATTCTGTTAACTCCTCTCGACGTTACTAATTACCAATCAAATAGGAATATGCGCCAACGCTCTATTCGATTTTACCTAATGAAATACAAAATGGCGATTTACCCGCAGTAAAAGACGAAGGGAGAGAGAACAAAAATGTTACTCATGATAATGGAAACAATAGACGTAGCAAGAATGACATTTGGATCTCTTCTGATAAATACGTGTTAGAATATTACGCAGACTCGAGTGTCAACAGAAACGAAAGGAAAAGTTTGTTAGATAAACAAGGCATTAATAACGAAATCACCGTGGGTAAAACTAATGAAAAAACCGTCATGGTGGATGCTTATCTGTCTTCCTACATTACAAGTTCGTTTTCTCTGTTTACGCTGTTATTAGGTTGTTACTACTTCCTCAAGCGATTTTGTACAACGGGTGTCAATTTTGAAAAGATTTGCTCTTTGGAATGTGTGCTTAAAATCCTGAAATGGCTGAAAAAAATTGATATTCTGGGGAGATGAGAAACAGGATGAAGAGAACGTAAAGTATAAAAAGTTATATATCAAGCATCAGGGGATGATCTAATTATGATGATTAAATTAAACAGGTTGCAAAATGTTCGACTTATTTTAATAAAAGCAAGAAATAGCTCAAATCCTATTTAATCTTAAAAAAATACTGTATTTTGTCATGTTTGTAACCGGAATTTTTTTCTTTAAGAAAAAGTAAATCATTAAATTTTATAACCAATAAATCATTAAACTTTATTTCATTAGATTACAAAAACAAGAGACTAGACTGAGATTTGCTTAATTGACTTAACTTAATAAATAACAATCAACAGTATGTTACATCATTACAAGAAAATTCGGTTTAAAGTAGTAGTAAATTTAACACATGTCGAAGTTTCTCTGTTCTCGACACAATAGGCATTACTTAAGTCTTTCTTTCACAAATCCAAGTTATATGGTGATTAAGTTTACGTTTTTGAGGACCACAAAATGACTAACAATACACGACCATTGTATCTTCTATCGAGTCCCATTATTAAAAAGAATCAGTGCCAGTCGGAGGTCAGAAGTTGACGATCAAATAAATATTTAGACCCGATTTGGATGACGTATGCTTCGGCCTGAAGGATCTTCTGTATGAATGAAGCGTAGGTAGCAAAGTGTGAGCATAGTCTATCGCTTTGTAGATAGCCCCGCAAATCGAACGACGGCATAAGGCATTCGAGAGTAGTTACGCTTATCTTGGTCACATTAGACAATTTACACAGGAACACTTTACTCAAATACATTTGCGAACAATCACGCATCTTGACTCCTGATCCTGAAACATTATCAGTACGTTATTGTCAATTTCTCAAAAAATTATAAACATCTTTATTTACTTCTATATTAAAATAATAGGATTTCCAGTAATTCTAGTCTTATTCCTTTAGTGTATGTAACAACTTAGTTTTCGACCATTCCTTCTATATATGTAGAAGGGATGGCCATTTGTGGACCCGTTCTAACTGACAAAATGTCTTCTGTGTTCTTTATTGATGTTAGAACAGTAGTCAGTATATTTAAACACAATTGAATTGCCAAGTTGTGAACTACGATAGTGAAACAAAACTAACATTGCAAAGATATCAGAAGAAGAATAATTTCCACAACCCTAGCTCAAACGCCATTCTGCCTTAAATTATTTGTGCAAAAGTCATCTTTGTGGAATTCCTAGAATTCGCTGAAGATATATCTTAAAAAATTAGTTCCTACAACCTTATGTTCTGTCTGTTCGTTGATTATTTAATTATTACTAATTTATAGATTAAATTCTACGAAGATTCACAGGGCATCTATATAAACATAATTCCAAATTAGATATGGAGATTATCTAGTAATAAAACGAATGGTCTTAAAAATACATTAGCAAGTAAGCATGTTTCCTGTACAAAAGAATAATAAACATTAAAGTTTCTGTAATAATTTAAGAAAACGATGTAATTTTTATTCTTGAAGACTCTGAAAATTAGTGCATTGCAATTTATGGCTAAAGTTCCGAAGTAGGAAAGAGATTCAGTACTAGTTACATAAGTTTTCAATGTATTTTTGTTTTAGTAAACCTAGTATCAGCTATGTTGCATGACAAACTCCAGTTTTTTCCTTTTTAGTTAATTTCTGCAATCCATGACTTTTAGGACATCCTGTGGGAAAAAATTAAGAAGGGAATCCATGTTCTGGATATGGTCTACAGACACAACAAATACAAACCTTAATAAAAGAAAACGAAGGATTCGCGTGTTATCTCTTCACCTTTTCATACTCTTCCCATCCAAATTCCCAGTGTGTGGCAACTCTTTTAGTACGTTGTAATGGCATGCAAATGGGCATAGCTGAGGCTTAGACATAATTATAAACAGAATATGTTAATGCTGAAGCAAATTGCTTACAGAATCTTATGGGAGAAATCATAATTGACTAGGAAATAAAACTGTTAAATTATGAGAGATTAAAAGCTATAAAGAATGGTTTATGAACTCATTAGAAGACTGAAGAACTAATTTAACACTGATACAATGTAGTGCACGTGTATGTCAATTGGATAAATTTTCCACCTCATCAAAGAAATCTTTTCTATTTATGAACAGAATTTAAGGATTTCAAAAAGTCCATTTAATAGAGTGATACGTTTCACCACTTTCTTTACAAATTCCGTTAGAAAGCAAAATATATTTGTGCTATTTGTAACATTAAACACAGAGATTTCAATTTAGACAACTTTGAAATCTCTCGAAAATAATTCTCTACTCACCTGGATCCATCAACAACACAGCTTTGGTTGGTACTATTGAATTTCTATCATGTATTCCCATTCGACAGGCAGTGTCTTTTATATTTTGAATCATATACTTCAATTTTGAGGCGATTTCGTCATCGTAGGGCGACGATTCTGGAATATCACTCATTGCGCGAATAAACAGCACCACTTTGATTATATTGGCTTGAATCAAGCTTCGAGAATCGTGAATAGTAAAGTGACACCAGAGGTACCTCCCTGTTTTCAACAGACAATGAGCGAAGCTTTCATTTATGAAGCGATATGGAATACCTTCGTCTCCGAGTGGACGCTAAAATAAGAAAACATGTGTTGAATTAGTGAAAATTTACAACAAAGACTTCATTAGACAGAATAAATTTGATAAGTCCGAGATTACAGAAAAGTTTAAATTGTTACATCGCAAAAAACAAAACTGGTAAGTTGAGTCGATTTAAAGTGTATATTTGATAAACCTGAATGACGAATGATCTTGAAATTCTTGAAGAATCATCAGAAAAATTAGTTTCGGATTTGAATCCCTGGAGATAAAAAAATGTGTTGAAGTGAGGGGCTCCCGTAGAAAGGGACACGTGCCCCCATTTTCGTCTCGATTGCCCTTTTCCTAATCCCCAAAACAGAAAATTCGCGAAAAGAAACTAATGAACAATATTTGTCCATTGACCCATGCAACTTCATATGTTGACCAAAACCCATTCGTTAATTTCGAGTGAAACAAGTGCCACCTTGTGAGAGCGTTGATCTGGCTTTGAAGCTCTTTGCATAACGTACAGTACGATGCCCTCTTTAATAGCTTGTTTCCCCTTTTCATAGTCTGCAATCCACTGCTTTAAGTACAATTTTCTAATAGAATAATATACAAATCGAAAAAGTTACTTACTGGAGGTTGAAAACTGATCTTTCCTCGATTTTCCTCCACTAAAAATTAAAGTATTTCATTAGACTCGAAAAAAAAAAAAAAAAAACAAAAAAAATAATAGAGAAACGATTGTCATCCTACTTACATAAATCCTCGATATGTCTTTCCACTGTCTTACTGTTTTTATCTCTGATGGTCAGTTGCTTGTCAAGGGACTGTACCAAACTCATAACTTCTTCGACTGTTACCGCTTGCTCTTTTTCTTCACATATTTTCTGTAATAAGATCGAATATTCTTCAGCTAATATCGTTGCTTCTGGATGAGCGATACTCGCTCCACTTGCTGTCTCGTCTAGAGATAAAAGACAAGATTGAAATATATTTTGATCAAAGGGAGAATAACGAGGACTGAGCACTTACCTAACTTGAAGAGGCAAACCAACTTTAGGAGATACAAATGGTAAAATGTAAATTTTAAATCGAACATCTGTGTGGCTGTTTTCAGGATAATAATGAGCAAGCATCTATGCTCGCAAAATTTTATGTCATCTGGATTGATGTATCCCCCGTCTACTTTGAAGGCTGGCCCTTTGCCTAATTGATCGGCTATTGCTGTTAGGTACCTTCCTTTGTTGCCATTTGCTTTTAAAAGAACGATCTGTAACGAAAACAAATCTTCGTTTAGAATCATAATGAATCTCCGGCCTAAATTACAATTGTGAAATACTACACTAAACTTGGAGCCCATTAAGTCTCGCTAAAATCAAACTTTGACTTACAGCACCAACTACAAAGTGTCTATCGTTCTTCAGAGATCTAGCCAAGTGTTGCTTTCAATAATCCTTCTTCAACAGTTCAACGGGACTTTAAAATCCTTTTAAGTTGTATAAAGTATTGTAAGTGTAATAAGCAAAAGAACTTTGAAATCCTTCTTTCTTCCCCTTCTGATTATCTCAGATGACCATTCATCAATATACTCAGTGTTATAAGTGGTATGAATCCTAATTTTTTCTAGAGGGTAGAACCTGAAATTTCATCCTTCATTTCATCTTAGTGTAATTGTACTTCAATCCAACCACCCAGAGTATGTATGAACAAACAAACTCAATCACCCAAATATACGTAAGTGCTGGAGAATGCTAATTTTTTTAATGACGACCCCAAAAACAATTCATAATTAAACATACTATGTCACCAACGGAAAAATCATTGCATCTACACATTCTGCTGTTGTGTTTAAGAATTGAAACAAATGTAAATAAATTTTAAATGCAAATAAATTAAGTGCATGGTCAGTAAAAACGTCTATATATTGAAGAAAATTTAGTTCTATTTAAAAATTTTTTTTCATTTTTTGCACTTATGTTAACAATTAAGTCTTTTTTCAGGCTCATAATAGACATTTGCAGAACAGATTGTCCATATAAAACACTTGAGAAAGTGAACTTGAAGAGACTTAATGAGCAAAGAAGATGCTAACATAACCTTAAATACGTCAGTCTTAAGAGGATGTTACATCTGAAGGTCACTTACCACTTGGTCGACGTTCAGTTGAAAGATGTCTTTCTGCTCCCAGATCCATTGAACATATCGCTCCCAACACCGATCCATGTATTTGGCGAAGTGAGCATCGGCACCTGTTTCTTCCAAAGACTGTTTTTCATATAAAAATATTTAGTTTCTTGTATATTGACATGTATCATCGCGTATCTTGTGGATTCCACACATCGAATGGAATATCCAATTGAATAATCCATAATATTGAATTAAAATTCCATTTTGTAACGAAAACTGTTCATGAATCTACTATTATAAATCGATACTAATTTAAGAGAGGACTTACCTTGTCTTCCGATCCTCCATACACATACTCTATCATTAATTCCAAATTGTAATCGATTTTCTCATATGCTAGGTATAGAAGAAATAAATTTTAAAAAGAAATAAGACAATCTCTAAGTAATAAAAATACTCACTATAAATATTATTCACGTTCAAGTATTGGAAAACAATAGAAAGAAGACAGGAAGAACAATTTTTGGGACATCCAACACGGCAGAAGACTGTTTGCGCCTTTTCAAATAGTTCATTCATTTTTGACTCGCACTCGCAACATAAGTATATGCTGCTGTATTCTAGACCTATTTCTTCACAAACATAACATATTCCGAATCTTGATACTTGAAGTTTTGCTGCCAATTCGGTGTTCTGGTCGTTCATTTCCATTTCTTCTTCTTCTTCTTCCTCTGTTGTTTCACAATCTTCTTCATCCATTATTTCTAAAATATTAAATAGATTAAAGAGAGTTTCCATTCAGGTATGATCTCGTATTAGGGTTTCTCATTTCCCGGTATTTTGCTTGTCCCGGGATCCCGGGATAAAAGTGAACTGTTTCCCGGGATCTTGATATTTTTAAACAAATCCATATACAATCGCCACCATAGATGGTCACTATGTTACGCTGGGTCTTACTAAACACGATTCGACTTGCGTAGCTGCGTATAGATGAGACAGGTGATAATTTACAATATATATGTCTCTAATACAAACAGTTAGCTTCTGTGCTTATTACTGTGCTAAGCTACACACTGTGGCTACTTTCTCGTGCATCACCTTATATAATANTAAACACGATTCGACTTGCGTAGCTGCGTATAGATGAGACAGGTGATAATTTACAATATATATGTCTCTAATACAAACAGTTAGCTTCTGTGCTTATTACTGTGCTAAGCTACACACTGTGGCTACTTTCTCGTGCATCACCTTATATAATAATAATAATAATTTAAACGTAACAACTGCGTCTACTTGTATAATATGTAGTAATTAATAACACGTAAAATAATAAAATTTATATGAATAAACTTATGAATTGATTTGTTACCTTCTTCTTCTTCATCGGTAAACAATTGATCACTATCTTGATCACCTACAAAAGAAAAAAAAGGCCAAAAAATTAATAGAGAGAGTGANCTAATTACCAATCAAATAGGAATATGCGCCAACGCTCTATTCGATTTTACCTAATGAAATACAAAATGGCGATTTACCCGCAGTAAAAGACAAAGGGAGAGAGAACAAAAATGTTACTCATGATAATGAAAACAATAGACGTAGCAAGAATGACATTTGGATCTGTTCTGATAAATAAGTGTTAGAATATTACGCAGGCTCGAGTTTCAACAGAAACGAAAGGAAAAGTTTTTTAGATAAACAAGGCATTATTAACGAAATCACCGTGGGTAAAACTAATGAAAAAACCGTCATGGTGGATGCTTATCTGTCTTCCTACATTACAAGTTCGTTTTCTCTGTTTACGCNTGCAATGCGTGGGAATGGGCAAAATATCTAAAAAAGTGTCACTATGCTAGTGGCTTAATCCTTGGGTAACAATAAAATGTTGAATAGCGAGCTCCATTTACGCACTCGACGTTATACACCTAATAACTAACAGAATGTTTTATGGGTTATGTAGCGTCCTAACCGGTAACAGGCAGAACCATACATTTTTTTGGAGAATTCATACAGTAAGGATGATCCCTGTACTATGATATTCTTGACCTGAGGTTGGGGTGAAAGAGAAATTTCAAAAATTATAAAAAAACAATACTAACAAGGCGACTGTGTTTTCTATAAACTGTGGTACCCAGCAACACGGCACCCCAACTTCTACACACTCTACAGTCTCTCAGTACATAGCGCTTGTCATNATCATCAAAAAAATTAGTGTAGGATTTGAATCCCAGGAGATAAAAAAATTGTTGAAATGAGGGACTCCCGTAAAAAGGGACACGTGCCTCCATTTTCGTCTCGATTTCCCTTTTTCTAATCCCAAAATAGAAAATTTGCGAAAACAAACTAATAAACAATATTTGGTTATTGACCCATGCAACTTCATATGTTGACCAAAACCCATTCGTTATTTTCGAGTGAAACAAGTGCCACCTTGTGAGGGCGTTAATCTGACTTTGAAGTTTTTTGCATAACGTACAGTACGATGCACTCTTTAATAGCTTGTTCCCCCTTTTCATAGTCTGCAATCCACTGCTTTAAGTACAATTTTCTAATAGAATAATATACAAATCGAAAAAGTTACTTACTGGAGGATGAAAACTGATCTTTCCTTTATTTTCCTCCACTAAAAATTAAAGTATTTCATTAGACTCGAAAAAAAAACAAAAACAACAAAAAAAAAATAATAGAGAAACGATTGTCATCCTACTTACATAAAGCCTCGATATATCTTTCCACTGTCTTACTGTTTTCATCTCTGATGGTCATTTCCTTGTCAAAGAACTGTACCAAACTCATAACTTCTTCGACTGTTACCACTTGCACTTCTACTTCGCATATTTTCTTTAATAAGATCGAATATTCTTCAGCTAATATCGTTGCTTCGGGATGAGCGATACACTCTCCACTTGCTGTCTCGTCTAGAGATAAAACACAAGATTGAAATATATTTTGATCAAAGGGAGAATAATGAGAACTGAGCACTTACCTAACTTGAAGAGGCAAACCAACTTTAGGAGATAAAAATGGTAATATGTAAATTTTAAATCGAACATCTGTGTGGCCGTATTCAGGATAGTAATGAGCAAGAATCTATGCTCGCAGGATTTTATGTCATCTGGATTGATGTATCCCCCGTCCACTTTGAAGGCTGGCCCTTTGCCTAATTGATCGGCTATTGCTGTTAGGTACCTTCCTTTGTTGCCATTTGCTTTTAAAAGAACGATCTGAAACGAAAACAAATTATTGATTAGAATCATAATGATTCTGCGGCCTAAACTAGAATTGTGAAATACTACACTAAACTGGGAGCCAATTAAGTCTTTCGCTAAAATCAAACTTTGACTTACAGCACCAACTACAAAGTGTTTATCGTTCTTCAGAGATCTAGCCAAGTGTTGCTTTCAATAATCCTTATTCAACAGTTCAACGAGACTTTAATATTCTTTTAAGTTGTAGAAAGTATTGTAAGTGTAATAAGCAAAAGNTTGTGAAATACTACACTAAACTGGGAGCCAATTAAGTCTTTCGCTAAAATCAAACTTTGACTTACAGCACCAACTACAAAGTGTTTATCGTTCTTCAGAGATCTAGCTAAGTGTTGCTTTCAGTAATCCTTATTCAACAGTTCAGCGAGACTTTAATATTCTTTTAAGTTGTAGAAAGTATTGTAAGTGTAATAAGCAAAAGAACTTTGAAATCTTTTTTTCATTCTTTTCTGATTATCCCAGATGACCATTCATCAATATACTCACTTAGTATCTTAAGTGGTATGAATCCTAATTCATTCTAGAGAGTAGAACCTGAAATTTCATCCTTCATTTCATCTTAGTGTAATTGTACTTCAATCCAACCACCCAGAGTAGGTATAAACAAACGATGACTCAATCACCCTAATATACGTAAGTGCTGGAGAATGCTTATTTTTTTAATGACGACCTCAAAAACAATTCATAATTAAACATACTATGTCACCAATGAAAGAATCATTGCATCTACACATTCTGCTGTTGTGTTTAAGAATTGAAACAAATGTAAATAAATTTTAAATGCAAATAAATAAGTGCATGGTCAGCGAAAACGTCTACATATTGAGGAAAATTTGGTTCCATTTAAAAAATTTTTTTTCATTTTTTGCACTTATGTTAACAATTTAGTCTTTTTCAGGCTCATAATAGAGACATTTGCAGAACAGACAGTCCATATAAAGCACTTGAGAAAGTGAACCTTAAGAGACTTAATCGGCAAAGAAGATGCTAACATAACCTTAAATACGTCAGTCTTAAGATGATGTTAAATCTGAAGGTTACTTACCACTTGGTCGACGTTCAGTTGAAAGATGTCTTTTTGCTCCCAGATCCATTGAACATATCGTTCCCAACACCGATCCATGTATTTGGCGAAGTGAGCATCGGCACCTTCTTCTTCCAAAGACTGTTTTTTATATAAAAATATTCAGTTTTTTGTATATTGACATGTATCATCGCGTATCTTGTGGATTCCACACATCGAATGAAATATCCAATTGAATAATCCATAATATTGAATTAAAATTCCATTTTGTAACGAAAACTGTTCATGAATCTACTATTATAAATCGATACTAATTCAAGAAAGGACTTACCTTGTCTTCCGATCCTCCATACACATACTCTATTATTAATTCCAAATTGTAATCGATTTTCTCATATGCTAGGTATGGAAGAAATAAATTTTAAAAAGAAATAAGACAATCTCTAAGTAATAAAAACACTCACCATAAATATTATTCACGTCCAAGTATTGAAAAACAATAGAAAGAAGACAGGAAGAACAATTTTTGGGACATCCATCACGGCAGAAGACTGTTTGCGCCTTTTCAACCAGTTCATTCATTTTTGACTCGCACTCGCAACATAAGTATATGCTGCTGTATTCTAGACCTATTTCTTCACAAACATAACATATTCCGAATCTTGATACTTGAAGTTTTGCTGCCAATTCGGTGTTCTGGTCGTTCATTTCCATTTCTTCTTCTTCTTCTTCTTCCTCTGTTGTTTCACAATCTTCTTCATCCATTATTTCTAAGATATTAAATAGATTAAAGAGAGTTTCCATTCAGGTAAGATCTCGTATATGCACCATACTTTGTTTCTTTAAATTAAGAATTTTTTATGCCCATTACAAAGTTAAGATTTTCTCATTATTCTAAGAATTTTAAAGATTGTCAAAATTACTTCCCTTAATTCAATGTTTCACGTAAATTTGGGAAATTCGTGTGGGTTGTCAAATCAAAAATTAAAATTTTTAAACAAATCCATATACAATCGCCACCATAGATGGTCACTAGGTTACGCAGGGTCTTACTAAACACGATTCGACGTGCGTAGCTGCGTATAGATGAAACAGGTGATAATTTACAATATATATGTCTCTAATAATAACAGTTAGCTTCTGTGCTTATTACTGTGCTAAGCTACACACTGTGGCTACTTTCTCGTGCATCACCTTATATAATAATAATAATAATTTAAACGTAACAACTGCGTCTACTTGTAT